GTCTCCTTAATTAGAGTAAGGGTTCATCAGAGCCATAAGCAGAAGCTGGCTGTTTCCTGCATCACCGTGTCCTCCACGCACCAGGAACAGCACGTACAAGGAGGACCAGCATCCCTGTGCCCACCCCACCAGCACAGCAGCCCGAAAGCAGGCAGGATGCCCCCCCCGGACACAATTTACTCCCCATCTGGCAGTGCCTGTGCTGGCAGCAGCAGTGGAAACTGAGGAAGTGGTGGCCAACAGGAGGTTGCCCTTCCCTGCTCTCTGCAAGCCCCAGAGCCCCCAGCTCATGCAGCATCCCCCTACCCAGCACGCTGTGGCCACCACCAGCCAAGGGGCTGTGGCCACCACCAGCCAAGAGCTTTGGGTCATGGCTGAAACCTCCAACGGCTACAGCTTACCCGAAAGAGCCCACAACCCTTTCCCCCTCACAAAACGAACATTAAAAGAATAGCTTTACACTTCACAGGAACACAATGGCAGAGTGTGCTTAATTTATTAAAATCGCCATGTCTTTCCCAAAGTATACCAGTATGTAAAATATGCATACAAAATACAACATTTAAACAAATTATTTACATCCAGGGGCAGCTGCAATATCAAGCAATAACTTTAGCAATAGTTTTAAAAATAACTTGCTGCAGCGTACACGAGGTTAGGTATTTCACAATATGAAGATTGAATTTTAGCATCGTACTGCTATACTAAGTTCTAAAATATTACAGTACTTCCAGACAAAATATTAATGCTTCTTTAAAAAACAGACAACTCGGACACCTGTTCGTAGACTGACAAAACACTACACATTTCTCTTTGGGAACTCAAAAACCACAGCAGATTTAGACACAAATGTAAGAGCTACATTCAAAATATATTCAGTCTATTTATGCCAAAAAATACATTCAGAGCCTTTGGTTACAACTTATTGCACATTTCGTATATTCTGTAGAAATATAGTGTACCTCTTAATGCTTTTTTTCCCCCGTACATTCATCAATTGTGCTGCCTGTTAAAAGAGGCTCAGGGGGGGCAGCTCCAAGTGCTGCCACGGGAGCAGCCCCGGCGCTAAACGTGTCCCTGTGGTGGGACTCATCTCGTAAGGAACCGTCCCCAGCAGCAAGGAGACACCCAACATCTCCCCGCCATCAGCAGGGACAGGCTGGGGACACCCCTGAGCCCACCAGCGGTGACAGGGGACCCAGGTGGATGGGGACCAGCAGGAGACCTCTCTCTGCTCAGTGATCAGACCTGCCACGGGGACTAGCCCTGCTTCTAAACACACTTACTCATCATTCCTGAAAGCATTCCCTCAAAAAGTGGCAGAACGATGACTAAAATACTGCAGGACTCATTCTAGGGTTACACGAGGGAAATGATCACGGTTAAGTGCAAATTACTATAAAAATAGGAAAGTGCAAAAGAGATTACAGTTTGAATTTCTCAGGGGGCATTTGGGGGGAGCAGTTCAGGGATAACAGAAAGGTGCTAGAGAAAAAGTTAATTAACTTTCCCTTTCAGTTCATATTCCATGCATTAAGCTTTAGGTTGTTACTAGAAGTTAATTAAAAAGAAAAAATAAAATAAAATCAGTAATCCCCCCAAACTAGACACATCGGTGAGGAGAGGCTAAATGGGGTGACTGGTCTCAAACGTCCTTGAGCTGGAACGTTTCTAAGCGCTTAAGAACTTGTGCTTTAAGGGCAGATTAGCGGGAACATCAGGAACCTCTCCAGAAACCTCAGCCTCCCGAAAACCGCAAAGAAGCGCCAGGGTTTAACCTCTGTCCTTCAATGTGAGCAGGACAAATCTACACCGAGGGAAAAGGTCACTAAAACAAGGGGGTTTTGTTTGTTTGTTTGTTTGGCTGGTTGGTGGGTTGGGTTTCTTTTGAAGGAGCACAGAGTTTACAAACCCGGTGAAGCCCAGCACAGCAACACCCCCCGGGCTCAGCCCTGAAACTCCGCTCCGCTGCACCGCGATCCACCTCTCAACAGTAACAGCAGCACAAAAGAACCACAAAAAAACCCCAAACTAACACCAAAACAGTGCCAAAAAATACTGAGCTAAGTGAAAAGCAACCAGAGCACGAGCTCTGAAGCCATGATATGCGTCTGGGAGATTCAAAGCGTTCCCGGGGCCGGAGCTGTGAGCCGGGGGTGCAGCCCAGCAGGAGCAGGGTCTGGCTGCCCAGAGCATCCCCCCTCCCTGAGCCCCCCACGCCTCCCAGCCTGCCACCAGAAGGGTCTTCTCCAGGGCTATTCAACGAGTTTCAGAGACTCCAGGGGGGAAAGGGAAAAAACACAGCCTCAGCGCCCACCGCCACGTGAGACTGACCAAACACACAGGGGAAAGCAAGTGGTGTTCACAGCTAAAAAGAAGTCACTGATGGTGTATACACTGGTGTCTGAGGCAAGATCAAACTGGAAAAAACAGGGGGAGCAGGCTGCACCCCAGGGCAGAGCAGGGAGGAGCAGCAGAGGCCACCCTGAGAGCTGTAGGAGCCCCATCACGGTGGGGACCACATTCATTCCCACAGACACCGGGCACAGCTCGGCCCTGGAGGGGGAATTGCTCCAGGAGCATCTGCAGCATCACCAGACCCCATGGCCCCATCACTGCCTGGCCACCCAGCAATAAACATCTCCTAGCTCTGCCCCGAGAGCGGGCCCCCAAAGCACCTCACACCCAAAAAGCACATTTTTTCAATTTCACAGCACAACTTGGGCCTGGCACAGTTCCTGACCCAGGGGAGCTTCTGCACAGACACTGAACTCCTCCACCACACAGTCCAGTCCACTGGGAAAGAAGCCCCAGGAAGAGCCATCAGACAGACTTCAAGGACATAGATACTTTCAAAGGGTAATACAGGCAAAGAGTGCATAGGACTGAATTTAAAATTTAAGAAAAAATCCTAGAGAACATTTGGATCGCTCTGCCCATGAAGAATGCCTCCAGGCAAAAAAAAATGAAAGTTTCAAAAGTGGTGTAAGAGAAGCTGATGGGGTCCCTTGGTCATCTTGCCTTTTGTACGGCAACTGATCAAGTTTTCACTACCATCCCAGGAGCTCCTCAGCTCCAGCAGGTGACGCTCTTTGAGACATTCTCCTCAATTGTTCCAAAGCACAGGGTTTAATGTGTATTTTAACACACCGCTCTGGTTGTTCACAAACATTTGATTATTTTTTCTCGGCAAAGAGCTAAGGGGGTCTGTAAGTGCCGGAGGCTCAGGAAGGACTGACCATTCCCTTTCAGGCACCTTCCCAAGTGCTAAAGCAATTCTGAGAAGTTCCTCTCACCTGCACAGTTTAAATACTTTTGAAGAAATGGCCCTACATCAGCATATTCTTTAAAATTGCTTTTGCTCCACTACCAGTGGTTTCAGACACCTTATTCCGTAAATTCAGTAAGAGCTGATTTCAACGGATAAAACATTTCCTTTTCCCACTTAAAAAAAAAAAAAAAAATCTTTGATCGTTCCTTTTGAACATAGGGATGGTTTTTTTTTTTCAAGTCACATTCTGCAAGAACAAATGCCGGACCTTGTGTCTGCAAAGCTTTTGATACTCAGGCCAGCACCACAGCGTGGATCACACACTCACAATTACCCCCCTGGCAGCTTGGGCAGGAGGTGGCTGCCGAGCTCCCTGGTGTGGCTTATGCAGCTGAAGCACAGAACAATTAAATCTGCAAGAGGACTTTGATTAGATCTCAGAATTCCTACTGGGAAAACCCTACTAGGCATCCAGCAGAAACATCCTCCACCATTCCGCTAACCGGCCACGCAGAGACTTGCGTTATCAAGACAAGGCGGGGGACTAAAAGGTAGGCAAACAGTTAAATTGCACTAGAGCCTATTAACAGGGCAATTAACACCCAGGAAGAGTCCATAATGTCCTGAAGCAGGGACAAAGTACTGGTACTGCTGACCATCCTGCTCAGTAACAGTTTAACCCATCCTTCCATGGCAGAGCCCCAGTTCAAGAAGTTTCACACCAAAGATTGATCTTAAATACCATAATTAGCTAACAGCTCCCTTCCACCCAGCTGCAGGTGCTACAGCCAATGTTTGCAGAGCTTTGTGCCTCTGGAGAAATCTCTGTGGATCACCTGGCTTTAGAAATATTGAAAGAACCAAATTATTATGAAGTGTATAATTTTGGCTATTAAAAATATCAGAACACCATATTCAAATGCGTGGACCACAGAGCGGGGCAGAATTCACAGAATGCCAGAACACCAGCGAATTTTGGGAAAAAAAAAAAAAAAAAGAGCAGCCCACCTTTTCTAGCCTTATAGCAGCAGTGTTATGGAAATGCGATGAGAGTTGTTCACACCTTTCACCACCCTGCTGCTGTGCCAGGAACCCACTGAATAAGCCCCTGCACCAGGACAGGTTGGGGGTGACCTGCTGGAGAGCACCTCTGAGGAGAAAGACCTGGGAATCCTGGTGGACAAGAGGATGCCCATGAGCCAAGAATGTGTCCTTGTGGCCAAGAAGGCCAATGGCATCATGGGGAGCATTAAGAAAAGCATAGCCTGCAGGTGGAGGGAGGTCATCCTGCCCCTCTACTCTGCCCTGGGGAGGCCCCATCTGGAGCACTGGGTCCAGTTCTGGGCTCCCCAGTTCCAGAAGGGAGAGGGGACAGCAGGGGGCTACAAAGATGATGAAGGGCCTGGAGCATCTCTCTTATGAGGAGAGGCTGAGGGACTTGGGGCTTTTCAGTCTGGAGAAGAGAAGACAGGGGGGATCTGATCAACGCCTATAAATACTCAAAAGGTGGGTGTCAGGAGGATGGGGTCAGTCTTTTTCCAGTGCTGCCCAGGGACAGGACAAGAGGGAACGGACACAAATTTGAATATAAGAAGTATCACCTAAACATGAGGAGGAACTTCTTTCCCTTGAGGGTGGCAGAGCCCTGGAAGAGGCTGCCCAGGGAGGTGGTGGAGTCTCCTTCTCTGGAGACATTCAAACCCACCTGGACACGTTCCTGTGGGACCTGCTCTGGGTGGGACCTGCTCTGGCAGGGGGTTGAACTGGATGATCTCCAGAGATCCCTTCCAATCCCGTGTGATTCTGTGCTGCACTCCAGAGCACAGGGGTGTCTGACACATTAATTCTGAGTGCCAAACGCCAGGGGGGTAGGAAGGGCGTTCATGTCCTGACACACCAGGTGCTGGGGTCGGGGCTCTGCAGCTCCCGGTGGCACCGGCGTCCCCAGACCCCATGGCACTGCCAGGAGAGACCGACCTTTCTGCTGGGTTTCAACTGTTTCCCAAGAACCCATTTTGTTAAATGCTTTTGTTAAAGCTTTCCCCAACACAGCAAAAGGCACTAGAAAAAAAAAAAGTTACCACTGACAGATTGGCAAGTTGCTTTTTAAAAAAATATATACTTTCTCAGTTTGAGTAGAATTTCTCCCATTCCACCCCTACAGATCAATTGGAAAAGTATTGCCTCTATTATTTTTTCCTACTAACTGTTAAAAATTGTCCCTTGATGGGTAGTTCAATGAGCAAATGAACAGAGCAAAAGAACTCCAAATCCTAAACTACAATATTGTACACGAAATCAAGACAATAAAAATAAAAGTTAATAAAAAACCCGACTGGATGCTTTTGTTCACAATATACATGCCCAGTGGACCTTTCATCTTTTTATATTTGCTTAGGTATAAATATAGGTTTTAAAAATGCTTTTTACTGACAGCCCCTTTTCAGATTCCTGCGCAAAAATATGAAAAAAAGCTTGATTAAATTTGGCCTTTTACTTGGTTTGAGGATAAAAGGTGTGGTTTCTCTTGCGAACAGGCTTTAACCAGTACCAGCCACGGCCAGCTCGTTTGGAGTTTGACTGGGATACGAAGCGCCACAGCGAAAGGTGTTGTCACACCTACACCACCGTGGGGGTTAGGCTCCTTTCTGCAATCACCCTAGTCTCTAATTAACTTTAAAAAACCGAAGCAAGTCACCGACCTGCTGTATAAAACACGAACTGCGAGTCAAAGCTGCCCTTCCCAGTGGCCAAAGGCGAAGCTGGATGTCAGTGCTCTGGTCCGGGCACTCAAATACTGAACCGCGCGATGTGAGGTAGACCAAAAAAATAAAAATACTATCACACGTTACAAGACAGAACAGAAGGATTCGTTCCCCTCCTCCTCCGGGGAGCTGGCTCAGGCTTTGGAGTCCTCCTGCAGGCAGAGCTGGGACACGGTCTTCTTCACCCGCAGGGCGGTGAGCCGCGCCGCCCCGTTGGGGTGCCAGCACTCCCGCATCACCCGGCCCATGGCCCGCAGCGCCTGCAACCGCACAGCACAGCAACACGTCAGGAGAGGGGCCCAACCCTCCCATTCCTCCTTTCTTTAAGCACAATAAGGGAAGATAACACACAGCTCTCTGACACGGCCACGCAATAGTGATATCCGCATTGATGAAGATGATGAGGGCACCAGAACAGCTCTCTGAGGGACTTGGGGCTGTTTAGTCTGGAGATGAGAAGACTGTGGAGGGATCTGATTAACACCTACAAATACCTAAAGGGTGGATATCAGGAAGACGTGGCCAGTCTTTTCTCAGTAGTGCCCTGTGACAGGGTAAGGGGCAACAGGCACAAACTGGAACATGGGAAGCTCCATCTCAACATGAGGAGGAACTTCTTTCCTGTGAGGGTGGCAGAGCCTTGGCAGAGGCTGCCCACAGAAGTGGTGGAGTCTTCTTCTCTGAAGACATTCAAACCCCACTTGGGCATATTCCTGTCCCACTGCTCTGGGTGACCCTGCTCTGGCAGGGGGTTGGACCAGATGATTTCCAGAGGTCCCTTCCAACCCCTACAATTCTGTGATACTATAAATTAAGACCTGTACCCCATAGAGTTCAGCATTTGGTGCAGAGACACTTCTTTCTGTATTGATCTGGGAGCTGAAAAAGAGCTAGACATCTAAAACACATTTAAATTCAGGAGAGGCTGGACGTTGAGCTCCCTGTGTTCTACCGAAAAATTCTGTCTAAATTTAAACATGCTTTGTAATAAACTAGAAAACTGCTCTTACCTCACAGCTTTGCCACTGGTTTGGAATATTTGGTCTGAGCTTCTGCTCACAAACTACCCTTCTCATATCTTCTATCGAAGGATCAGAAGGCACAACATCATAGTAAGGCAACTGGTATTCCTCGGTGATTCCTAGGAAAGATGTCTTGTGTAGGTAACACAAAATCCAAAGCAGCTGCTCCAGAACCAACTCTAATTGTTTTTGCAGGCAATGGGAGAGAACAGAGGGACATTTGGGGCCACCTTGAACAACTGCTTCACAACAGACTTCTACCACCACGACCTGCCAAGAAAACTGGGACAGCAAGGACAGGGACACTGACCCTTTCATTCATTTTGTTTCGTTTAAGATAAAGGCAGGATTTGCAAAATGAAAAGGCCAGAAACCTCACCTCCAACGGAGCACCTCCGGGCTATCTCCCAGTACACCAGCCCCAGAGAGTAGATGTCTGCACGTTTGAAGGACTCGAAGATGTTCATGTTCATCACATCATCAAGTATCTCAGGAGCCATATACCTTTAGAGGAGACAAAAGTCACTTTGCTGGAGGGACTTTGTACAAAGACCACAGCCGCTGCTCATGATGCCCTGACTATGCCACGGGGGTGACCAGCACTGCTGTCCATGCCATGGTCAACCTGGGGTGGCCAGTGGCACTGCTCATCAAAGACCACAAGCTGAGAGGGAGTCACAGGGGGAGGAAGGGCCAGGAGAAGCCGTCCCCATGGGGCCAGGCCAGCAGCGTGTCCTCACCCACCTCCTGGTGCCCACCCGGGGGTTCTGGGGGATGTCGATGGTGTTGAGGACCGAGTCGTGCTTCACCGCCAGGCCCAGGTCTGCGATGGCGCAGGTTTCGTTCCTCTTCACCAGGATGTTCTTGGATTTCAGGTCCCGGTGCGCGATGGCTGGCTTTCCTGTGAGCAGCAAGAGAACACACCGTCAATAACAACGGCATGAATTTTAGTGTAACGAGCAAGGAAGCAAAAAACGGTTTTACTCAGCTTTGTTACTATACCCCATAAAAAACATGGAAGCCTGTTTTGCCCTAAGGAAAGCTCTGCTAAATGCCATCGCATTAAAAAAAAAAAAAAAAAAAGCCTTGAGGGCATTTTTGTTCCAATATCTGTATTTCAGGAATAAAACACAAAACGAGAAACTGTGAATTCAGCCTCTGAATTCCTTTAGAAAATCCTTGGTTAACACTCCCCTTTAGCAGGGCTGCCCCCACAGACCTCCCCTGGGAGACGGGGAAGGAGGCGCTGACAGTGACGCTGGGAAGATGATATTCCTATTCTCTGTTTACACCGTATTTCACAGTTTTATGGCAATACTGCTCCTCGTGGTACAGCAGCTTGCACAACACTGTACGACAGCCCCTCACCCGCGAAGGACTCTGCAGATACCACGGTAGGACCCGGGGAAGGGGAGCCCTTGCCTTGTGTGCCGACGATCTCCATGTGGAGGTGTGCCAGACCACTGGCCACCGAGAGCGCCAGCCGGACCATGCCTTCCACCGTCACCGTCCCTCTGTTCAGGTAGTCGAACAGGGACCCTTGCTCGTGGTACTCAGAGACAAGCCACAGCTGCGTCCACGTCCCGTTATCTACCCAGGGGAAGCAAGATTGTCCAGATTTATGACAAAAATCAGCCAGGAGGAGCCTTCCCCATTCTGTGGCCAGCTTGGGCACACAAACAAAGATGTTTGCCAGCCACCCCAGAGGGAGCAGTGAGGCTCATGGGGGTAATCCAGGTGGGAATCATAGAATCTTCTAGGTTGGAAGGGACCTTAAAGATCATCTTGTCCAACCGTCAACCTAACTGACAAAAATAGACACCCACACAACAAACAAGAAGCATCACCATCACTAAACCAGACCTCCCAGCACTACATCAACCCGGCTTTTGAACACCTCCAGGGATGGTGCCTCAACCACCTCCCTGGGCAGCCCATTCCAATGGCTGATGACCCTTTCGGTGAAAAATTTTTTCCTAATATCCAGCCTGAACCTCCCCTGGTGTAACTTGAGGCCATTTCCTCTCGTCCTGTCGCCTGTGACTTGAGAAAAGAGACCGACCCCCACCTCTCTACACCCTCCTTTCAGGGAGTTGTAGAGAGCAATAAGGTCTCCCCTCAGCCTCCTCTTCTCCAGGCTGAACACCCCCAGCTCCCTCAGCCTCTCCTCATAAGACTTGTGCTCCAGACCCCTCACCAGCTTTGTTGCAATGGGCAATGGAAGCAATTCCCAGCCGGAAGCCGGGATCCCACCCCTCGCAGCGCACCCTTGTTGTCGGCAGCGATGAAGCCCAGGATGTTCTCGTGCCGCAGCATAACCGTCTGGTAGATTTCCGCCTCCCGGAACCAGGACCGCTCGTCTCTGGAGGAGAAGATTTTCACAGCTACGTCTTCCCCGCACCATTTTCCACGCCAGACTTCGCCAAATCGGCCCTTTCCTACAATTTCCTGCAGGACAATAGTCCTCGCGATGGTTCGCTGTACGAGGAGAGGCAAACCTGGGCAGGAAAGAAGAGAGGGGTATTTGTGAAATCAATCACCAGTGATTGTTAAATCCCAAAGTCAGAGATTTTCCGGCGAATTGTACTTGTGATTTGCTCTCCAAGAGTACCAAGGGAAAACCCTTTCCCAACCAAATCTCTCCATATCATATTTTTTACAAACTTCTCAGATACAAGGAGAGGGGACAGAAACAGACAAAATCTAAAAAACTGGCACATACACCATGGTCTGCCTGGAAAAATCATAGAATCATAGAACAGGTTGGGTTGTAAGGGACCTTGAAGATCATCGAGTCCCAACCCCCTGCCCTGGGCAGGGACACCTCCCACCACACCACGTTGCTCCAAGCCCCCTCCAACCTGCCCTTCAACCCCTCCAGGGATGGGGCAGCCACAGCTTCTCGGGGCAACCTGGGCCAGGCTCTCACCACCCTCACAGCAAAGAACTTCTTCCCCACATCTCAGCTCCATCTCCCCTCTTTCAGGGTCAAACCCTTACCCCTCCTCTTATCACAGATCAGCCCAGCCTTGCTGTTCTCTGGGACAAGGAGAAAAGCCACACTGGCTGTGCCTGATGTGTAAAAAGCCACACTAGACCATGATGACCAAGCACTGGCAAACGCCAGGGCCAGACCCACACCGGAGCAGTTGCCAGGAGACGTTCTTTAAGTCCCAAACAAATACAGTATCAAAGCCATTGCATTTTGTTCTCCCAGCCATAAACCCCTGCCTCGTTTGATTTGATACTGTATTTGTTTGGGACTTAAAGAAATTTTTTAATTTTTTTTTTTTTTCATTTTTTTAAATCAAGACAACCTTGCTTTTAACAGACCAAAATAATCAGCAGGAAAAATTGTAGTCTGAAGGTCATCTTATTCAAATTTATTCAAATTTCCTCTCCGGTTCCCTTGACGGAGCCCTCACACCTTCAGATCCTACAGCCTGTACAGGGGCTTGTCCTGTGCCCAACCCTGAGTCGCCTCCAGGCAGAGAGGAGCAAAAATCACTATTTGGCTGGAATTGGGGCAAACGGCGCCGCACAGGAGGCTCTGTCTGTCAGCACCCAGAGAGCCCTGCTATCAGCCCAGGGACCTCTACGAACAGCCAGAGCTCCAGGGTAAATAAAGCCAGAGTTTACTCGTTACACCTCTGAAAAAATGTACAATAACTAATCCGGAAAGTTACGTAGTTCATGGAAAATAAAGGAATTAAATTAAGCACCATTTATAAATTTTTCACTTATAATTAAAACTAACCCTGATTTACATATTTTTCAGGTAAATAAAAAAATCTTAGTTACTGACAGCTGGGCCGTATACACCAGACATCCCACCAGCACAATGAGCTGGAATATCTGAATTCCCACCATATTTTTGCATTTCTTTGATTTACCAGGTTCTCAATAGCAACAGAGGCACCACAGCAGAGAGAACATCAGAAATGGGTAAAATATTAAAAAGGTTAGTGTTCTGCTGAAAACAAGAATTTGGAGTAACATTATTTTGGCACCGCTATAAGAATTTCAGGAGTGGAATCCTGAGTCATTCCATTAAATTTAGTACCTTTTATCCTCAGCCATGCCCCGCCAGCCGGCAGAGCCTTGCTGCACACTTGAGACTGACTTCCAAATTAACTTTTTGAACTCTTCCACTCGAACAACGAACCAAACCTTTGGAATCTGACATAAAGAGAGCACCCAAAGCCCTGTTGCCACTGTAAAGTGCCGGGACCAAATCTCCCGTGACACAAAACTTGTCACTGGCGTGAGAGCCCCTGAGATAAGTCCCCCACCTGCACCTTCTGCTCAATTGTCCGTCGCCCTACAAGCAAGGTGCCACCTTTGCTTTGGTTTAAGCACCAAGGAAATTTCCTCTGATCTTTGGCAGTGAAGTGGTGGTGAGGGCAGGGCAGCCGCACATACCAGAGCCGGAGCCGGAGGTCGTCATGTCGTAGATGAGGTCCTTCAGGGTCTTCCCAGAGTTGACCAGGTTGCACTCGGAGAGGGGCTCCTCCACGTTGGGCTGCCTGGTGCAGTGGCGGGCGCATCGCCGGTGCCGGTGGGTGCAGGCCACCAGCACTGCCACCAAGGAGAGGACACAGACTGGCACCGCCACCGTCAGCGCCAGCACCACTGGTTCTGCACTGGCTCTGCCCGGAGACTCCGACGCTTTTGGAAGACACAAGGGAGAGAGGGTGGAGGGAAGAAGATGGTAAGTGAAGGGTTGTGAAGCAATGATGTGTCAAGAGTCAATGCCTTCCCACAGTCCTCCTGAGCAGGACCAGCAGCAGTGAGACAGACATTTCATAGAGTCACAGAATGGTTTGGGTTGGAAGGGACCTTAAAGCCCTGCCAGTGCCACCCCCTGCCCTGGGCAGGGACACCTCCCACCACACCAGGTGGCTCCAAGCCCCCTCCCCATCCTGGCCTTGAACCCCTCCAGGGATGGGGCAGCCACAGCTTCTCGGGGCAACCTGGACCAGGCTCTCACCACCCTCACACCAAACAAGTTCTTCCCCACATCTCAGCTCCATCTCCCCTCTTTCAGGGTCAAACCCTTCCCCCTCCTCCTAGGACTCCCCTCCCTGATCCAGAGTCACTCCTCATGTCTTCTACAGGCCCCCTTTAGGTACTGGAAGGCTGCTATAAAGTTCTGCTATAAGTTATGGAAGCTCACTGCCACCACCACCCTTTTTACAGGAATCTCAGGCTCCAGATAGTGCTGTGATCACCACTAACAACACCATCTCAGTCAGATGGCCCCACGAGCAGCTCCTCAAGGAGGATGTTCAGCAGTGTATGGCTGGTGGCAGCACAGCTGGAGGTGAAGTACTGTATGGACCATCACCACACCTGCCCCCAGGAAATTTCCTCACACACTTCGCCCTCCCCGCAGGGCACTCTGGTTCTATCTCCACTTCTCTGTTATTAAACCCCCACAGACTTCTCACAGCACAACACATCTCCAGCTAGTCCCACCCCAGCTCCCACAGCATCATCCAAGGCAGCAAACACCTGAAGAGCATCTCCTTGCAATTGTAGTTTCAAAAACACATAGATTATGCAGGTTTAATCTGTTCACCCTGTCAAAACACCATTTGTCAGCAGTTGGCTGATCCCCCAACTCCCCACCTCAGAAGACCAAGAGATAGGACCCGCACACCCACCGCAGGACCCCCAACCAGCACAGCCACCACCCCAATGGCCAGCAACTGGTGTTTCACTCAGTGCCAGGAGGGCAGGGCCCTTCCCACACTTTGTGCATGAATTTCTCAGAACATTGTCCCTGCTGCCCCCAGCTCCTTGGAAAAAACAATTTCCTAACACTTAGCACATCCAGAAATGTTCTAGCAAATGAGGCATCAAAAGGATTTCTAGGACAGAAAGCTTTTGGAACACGTGTTCATGAAGCTGTATTTCACAAGAGCCAAGGAACACGACTGGCCTAGACCATTGTCCATTTTAAAACTACAGGAGAAAAAGCATCTCAAGAAGCTACAGGAATAAATTATTAAGGTATTTACTTGCACATGCACACATACATAAATCCCTTAATGCCCCCAAAATTGTAAATAAGCTAAAAAAAAAACTGAAACAAAACAATCAACCACCACCTCCTCCTAAAAATAAAACAGAAAGTCAACCCCAAAAACCCCTCAAGACCTGGAACCCCAAGTACCAAACAGTGGACCTAAAGGCTACAGAAGGTTTAAGAATCACGGACGCCACACCATAAAAAGTCACCCCTTAAAACCAAAAGCCTCTCTCCCTCCTTTAGGCAAATGCTAAGCAATGTGTATGGTGTAATCTGAATTTTGGGAGCATGGGAAGCAGCAGCCTGATGGCTCCCAGCATCCACTGGCACTTTCCTCCAGTTAAGATCACAACAGAAGTTCTGCTTCTCCACAGGACCCTGCCAAGCCATGCGCTCCCTCCTTCAGAAGCGCCGGGAGCAAAGTGACCTCTGCAAAGCTGACTTGCTCCTTTTTCGTCTCTTCCTTACGTTTTAGAAAAGAAAACAAACAGAACGTTAACAACAGAAGGTCTCGTGTCTATTCACAGAGCACAATTCCAACCGCTCTCAAAACACAGTTACTACGTCTTGCCCACGGGCTTTTCCTTTAATAGACCCCGTCAGGACACGCGGGGGTTATCTCATCCGGCAGATCTGTAAGAGGATTTGCCGGCAGGATCCCTCCCTGGAACTGCTGCCTGTTGGCCGACACGCCGGGGTGTCCTGGGCTCTGCCCAGCTGTGCTTGCCCCCGGCAGAGGTTTCCCCTGCGGCAGGAACCTGGGACACCACACAGCACTGCCGGGGCACAGCGCATTGCCCAACGCATCACCCAATCCAATGTCCTCACCTGCAGAGCTAAACCGATGCATTATCTATCAGCAGCTGCTGCTAAAGACAGACACACACAAGGGACTTACTATAAAACATCAGTTCTTTCCACCCACTGCTGAAAAACAACATAGAATCATAGAATTGCCTGGGCTGGAAGGGACCTTTCAGATCATGGAGTCCAACCATCAACTCAACACTGCCAAACCCACCACCGACCCATGTCCCTCAGCACCACGTCTGCCCAGCTTTTAAATACCTCCAGGGATGGCGACTCCACCACTTCCCAACATAACATGAAATTAAAAAATCAGAGAATTTTATTATTTTTAGGCCAGTGTAAACAGCATCAGAAAGGAAAACATCAGAAGGAAAACATTCAGGAAGCTTTGGACAGCCACAAGGAAGCTCATGGGAAGAGAGAGGCTCCAAGGGGTGTCTTCGCAGACTGGCACATGGACATAGCACCTGGAACCACGGCATCTGCAGTGAGAATAATCCTGTTGGAGAGCTTTTGTTCCCAATGGTGAGTGATCCCCAGCACCTGCAGAGCCCCCGGTGCTGCCTGGCGGACATTGACATGCAGGCAGAGAGCATGACGTGGTCCTTGTGGGACATGGTCCTGATGGGATGTCCTTCCCCCATCTTCTCACTATACACCTACACCCTCTTTGCTGGAGTCATTCCATTTCATCATCCACGTCCACCAGGTCACTGCAGCCCCTTCTCCCAGAGTATGGTCACCGCTGTCCTGCCTCCCCCTCACAGCTTTTCCAGCTCCTTCCTCCTCTTCCCTCTTCTTCACAGCTCCCTCCATTCCCAAGCACCGCTCTCTCCAGGAGCAACTTCTTAAAAATCTCCAGGTTTGTTCTCTTTTTCTCTACTTTCAAGCCTGTTTCCTTGCAGTCTGGGTGTTACGGGTGGTGAATCTATATAGGCAAAAAAGAAGAGTTACTGGGGGATTTCTTCTTATCTTAAAATTCTATGCATACCTAGGTACATACATAAGACTTTCCAGGAGCTCCTGAAAGTGGGAAGTGGTTCTAGAGATACTTTGAAAAGCCAGGTTCGCTATGGACACAATAAATTAATTACTTCGCTTGGCTTTCCATAGCTGTTCCATAACCACTTGCACATCACGACGCAGCAGCAGCACTTCACCCAGCGTCTGGGGAGACTGCCCTGGGCTCAGACCAGCAGCCAGTGGAGACACTGGGCGATCACAAGGAGCACAAAGCACCGAGGTGTGGAGCCAGGCTGGGGCAGAAACGTGCATTTCCACATTTTTCACAGCAGGACGTGCTCCCGGCTCAGATGATGAAACTAAAAGTATGCAGGGTTTCTAATATTAAAGCCGTATTACTGCACTGGCTATGTCTACACCACCTTGTCAGACACTCTGCAAATCTAGGTGTGGTTCACAGATTTGCCAAGAGAATTGAGACAGTGCAGTTCAGGCTTCAGGGACATGACAATTTCTAACTTGCAGCACACCGTCTGCACGGTGTAAACCACTGAAATGGGTTTTATAGCAGGTTTTTAAGGGGCTCGTAAAAAATGCTTAGTACATCTTTAAAAAAAAGCAACAAAACCATTTTTATCAGCAAAAAAAGGTCTTGAATGTTAACAGAAACCTTGGCCGAGGCGGGAGGAGGGAGCAGGGACCCATGGCCATTCTGGGGATGCACAGAGAGACACCAGAGCGAAGCAGAAGCAAAATTCCAACACTGTCTCACAGGCACTCCAGAGGGTGACATCCAGCAGCAGGAGCACAAGCAGACACCAGCGTTACAGCTTATGCAGCGACGGGTGTTCACGATAAAATCACGTTCAGTGATGCTTACAGGTCTCCTCCGAGACGCTGCAAAGTGGAGAGAGCTCAAGTGCAGAAGGTGAGTCACTGGTGAGACTGGAAGCTGAGGTGTCCGGGCCAGTTTGCAGGGAGTCTCCAACAAGTTCCTGGAGAATGAAGAGATCCTGCCTGTCTGGAGAAGTTTCTTGGAAGGACTCAGCTGGATACCTCCTTTGTCATCCTTGAGTCTATTGGCCGTGCCAAAGTGCAGATCACAGCTGGTGGCAACCTCTCAAACCCTTCTTAGGTCTTCACAGAGCACACGGGAGACTTGAGAAGCACCAGAGCTGAGGTTCCTGTGTTAGAGTTGGTTGAAGGCCACCTTTCATCCTGACTCTTGCAGCAGGGTGTCCCGCGGCCAGCACTGCAGCTGTGCCAGGTCCTGGGCTCACCACCACCACCACCACCACCACCACCCACCACCCTCAGGCTTCGTGTGCCACAAACTGCCCTCAGGAGGAGTGACACACAGCACCAGGGCAAAACACACGGCAGGCACGGGACAAACAACAATTACAACACCAAATTAATCAACAAACAACTACATCACCGAAATAAGCGCGGTAATGTTTTCAGCAGTTGTGCAATGTCAGACTCTTAGGGAAATAGGAAGATCCCTGGTGAGTACCTAAAGCCATCAAATCAACACCGTTAATCATAACATGTTGCAATCTCATTTCGAATGCACTCTTCAGTGACTTACTAGTCAAGAATAGAAGCTGAACACAGGTTGCCACGTATGAAACAAAAATAGCACATCTGGCAATATTTAGCCATTTCACCACATGGAATAGTTATACTTCCAAGTTGTGTAAACAAAAGAGAACTTTTAGGCATCAAAAAAAAAGAGGTTTTTTTTCCCCTCCAGTGGAAAAGACACTCTCACACACCACATCTGCCTGCCTTTGACATATAACGGGCACTGTAAGACTTCTAAAAGCCCTGAACTACACATGTTTAAGGTCCTAAGCTA